TATGTTGAATATTATGAGTTCCTGGTGTAGGAAATGGCGTCTTACTATTAATAATGAAAAAACACAAGTTGTTCAATTTAGGAAAAAAAGTGAATTACAGAGTACTTATATATTTCAGTTTGGGCCCGTGTCCTTAAAATATACCAGTCATTATAAATACCTTGGTTTTGTTTTTGATGAAAATATGAAGTTTACAGAGGGAAGAAAAATACTAGCAGAGTCTGCTGGAAGGGCATTGGGTTCTGTGTTGAGTAAAATGAAACTATGTACAGATCTTGGTTTTTTGACATTTACACAACTATATAAATCTTTGGTTGACTCAGTTTTGTTTTATGCTGCAGGAGTTTGGGGATTTGAAGAGGTTTTTGATTGTAATTCTGTTCAAAATCGTGCTTTGAGATGTTTTCTTGGGGTACATAAATATGCAGCGAAGGTAGCTGTGAATGGAGATGCAGGATGGGATCCATGTATTGTAAAACAAAGGTGTGAAATGGTGCGATTGTGGAACCGTCTTGTTAGTCTGCCAGAGGAAAGGCTAACTAAGAAATTTTTTAACTGGGACAGAGCAAATCATCACCCCTGGTGTGGAGAAGTTTTGTCAATATTTTCTGTGTCTGACTTGCATATAAGGTACTACAATAAGCTTCAATGTAATATAAAGGATGTCAGACAAAGACTGTTAAGTAAATATGAAAATCACTGGAAACAAGATATATGGAAGAAGCCAAAACTCAGAAATTATGTTCAGTTTAAGAATGATTTTGTAACAGAACCTTATATTTTCCTTAATTTAAAGAGAAGGCAGAGGTCTCTCTGTGCGCAATTGAGAACTAGTACCTTACCTCTGGCAGTGGAAGTGGGTCGATTTAAGGGTATACCTGAACATTTACGTTTATGTGAATTCTGTGATCTCAAGGTTGTGGAAGATGAATTTCACTTTGTTTTTTATTGCCCTTTATACTATGATTTAAGGAACTCTCTTTTTGAATTAGTTCAGTTAAAAAATCCTGATATATTTTGGAAATATGAAGGGGAGATTTTGTGCTGGCTGTTTGATAATCATGTTTTTGCTTTGGCAAAATTTATCGAAAAAGCCTGGTGTTTACGGCAAAGTATTCTGTATCCTGTATGATATCCCGTATGTCATCTCTATTTGTATGTGTATTTATCTTTGTGGTTTAGTTATACTATGTTGGAGATTTTGTCTTATATCACGTGGCTATTTTGGTGATATGTGTGAAGCTGTTGTGTCTAATAAGCCCATGAGGGCTGGGCACCATAAAAGGTGTTTGACACTCAAATAAACAATAACTAACTAACTAACTAACCCTGATAGTGTGGTCATTCCCATTTTTTCTCTCCATCATTTGACAAAAGGCTGGCTTTGTCCATGTAAATAACAACACACTGACTTTGATTTGACAATGATTACACACAGTGATATGAGAATGGGTTATTTAACACTTGTCTGTATATTGCCCAGAATAACATGTTTCTTAAACAGTTCTTCTAAAAAACGCTTGTATGACTTTTTAAGCTTCAAGTCTACATGGCTAGTGACTAATGAATCTTTCAAACAAATAAAAAAATCTTGTTTTTAAGCTGTATATTGTCACAGGTGTGGTGCGGGCAGAAGAAGACTCGAAGTCTAAAGGCTCCAATTCAAACAGTTTACTAATATATTACTCACAGGTACAGGCTGACAGGCAGGATGACACACACGCTAAACACAACTAACAACCGACAAAGACTGAATGAACTGAGGGAAACTAAATACAGAGACTGATTAACATGATGACAGGTGACACAGATGATGATTATAAACTAAACAGACGAGACAACTGAAGACAAACGAGGAGAGGGAAAACTGAACAAGGAAGACATGTGACAGATACAGGACAGATGAACTTGACTGTGACATATATAATTTTTTTTTTAAAGTTATTGTAAGAAACAATGATTTAACTCACAATTTAGACAGAGTATACAGTATATAGTTTGTATAGTTTATTATATTTGTGTGGTAAATTTTGATTTGCTAAATCAGATTTAAGATCAGCAACATATACTTTATATACTTCATTATGTTTGTTTAATCTCAATATCATCAGTATCGTTTGCAGGCTTTTTATGAAAGAGACAGATTTCTGCTAACAGGACCCATTTATGATCTGACCAGCCTCTTCTTCTTCCTTTATACCACCTGTAAAAAAAAAAAAAAAAAAAAAATCATCATTTGCACGTTTCTGTTAATGCCGAATGGTCACTGAACAAAATAAACCTTTAAAAAACTCTTTTCGCCCTGTCATTTCTCAATATACACCGTGTTACCGGTAGTTCTTTATCATGATAATATTAATGCTTCCCCTTGGTTATTGAAAAAGTTTGTGAACCAGTTTAACATTTGTGAATTGTATTTTACTGAGTTTAAAATTCAAGTACTTATAGGCTAAGATTTACATATTGAAATGTAGTAATTTTTGACTGTGAGAAGGTTATGTTAAGACTTACGTTCACTCATCCCTGCTTTAAACAATGAGGTGTGAGTGGTTTAGGAAGTAGCTGATGACCATTTTAGAAGTACAAATAAATAAATAAAATAAAATAGGGTCCACGATCCCCCTCCTCTGGGAATAGCATGGCATATCAGCAGTAAAAAGGGAAAAATAGATGTTTTCATGTTTAGTCACTAGGGGGCGCTCACTAACAGAGTCTTATCTGTTAGAAGAGAGTACAATCTGAGTTATGGAGTTAAAAAACAATGTGTTTGAATGCAATGTACTTAATATTATTTAACATAACATAATATAATAATAAGGCACATCGAAAATAAAAATGCACAAAAGTATTGTTCAAAACAGTCACAAGCCATGTTCAGTTTGCTTGAAATATAAAGTATTCTTAGAAGAAGAAAAAAACAGTAGGCTATAGTGCAGAGTGCAGAATATCATGCCAAAGTGATGAATTAAATACTACTAGCAGGGAGTGAATACACACTCTGAACTTTAGATTCTCTCTAAATACACATTTACGTTAAATTGTGCACATACATGAAGGGTCAGTTTGTGTCTGCTGAGATACTGTCAAACATCTACAGGATGTGGTCTGCTGGAACTCAGTGACAACAAATAAAGTTCAGTCGCTATGAAATGAGAAATTAAAATAACAACACAAAGCTCTTTTTGTGAGATCTGATATATCCACATACTAATTTACCACTAATAAAGTGATTTGGTTGTATAGGTTTGGAAATAAGGGAACGGTTAATGCTGTTGTTCTCTAGACAGGGTCTGTAACCACAGAGAAGAGAAGATGCTGAAAATAAACCACAAGAACTGAGACCATCTGCAAACATTAGCTTCAGATCAGAGAACCGATATCGGTTTAAGACGACTTACATTCAATGAGTACAAAATCTTTATCATAGAACATGAACTCCAAACATGACTGCTGGACTGTTTTCTTTGAACTATTGGAATTAAAAGTGATAAAAAGTGAGAAGCGAAACAAAGAACTGAAAATATAGTGACCAATCACAAACAAAAAGTGATCTGTTTTCTGATGTCTGAGCTTGTATGTTTAGTGCTTATAAAGGCCCTTTTCTGCGAACACAGATCTGACGGTGACTTCCCCTCAAAAATGCCTTACTGTGGAATAAAAACAGTTAAATAAAGTTTCTCTTGCAAGATATATAATGTTTCCACTGAATACTTTAGACACTCTCAGCTCAGTTTCTGAGTTAAAGTGAAACCTGCTGCGGTCGAGTGTATTTAGAGGAAGACTGACCCAAATTAATGTGGTTTCTGTTGAGTGGACAAACGTCTCGCTCCTGTTTACTATTGTGTGTGCGGTTGACTGATGGGTAAACAAGCAAAGACATTATTTTCCTTTAAGTCAGATTTCCACGCTACACAAAAGATTCACTGTACAATAAAGTAAAATGAATTCCTCAACAGTGGTATTTGTGAAACCCATCATCCATCATTCAAGAACCTCTCTATTTTCTCTAAAACAGACTGACAGATGATCATCTCAGCACTATAAGACAGCAGTAGATTAAACCAAACGTCGACTGCAAGTTTTTTGAGACAATCACTTAAACCATTGAATTGGTCAATACTGACTGACTCATTCATATAATAATATGACTCATTTACAAACAACTTTCATTTCAAATGACCAACTTTAATTATTTTACAGCTGTTTAATTGATTGTGTTCCCATACAAACAGTGTGGATAAATAGAATATAATATTACAAATCTAAATTGAATAATCCACATTAAGAAAAATACATCAGGCCAATAATTGGGTTCAGCACATTTAAAAGACAACTTTAGAGTGTTTTGAACATTACAGAATTTGTATACACATGCTTGTGTTCATTCTTAAAAACAATAGACAGGCTTTTGGTTAATATGATTCTGTTTATGATTTATTTAGAAAATGTCAGAAATCTATCTTTCTAGTAGACTATACAATAATGAAATTGGCATTTTTTTTTTGTAAATGAGACACAGGCACATAATACACAATTACAGTTGAATGCAAACTTTATTTATCATATTAATTATATTATCCGACTTGTTAACCATGAGCTCAATGATAGGATTGTCCAGGTCTGTGCAAAACCAGCCCAAACATCAATCAATAGCCAATAAAAAGTCAATAAAATTCCACTGGCCCTATCCATCAAAACTCAACATATGCCACTCCCATAACTAAAATACATATTTTACAGTCACGTGATTGTAAAGTTCAACTTGAATCACTAGTAATCATAAACATTCAGTTTTTTTATAAATAAGCTTATAAATATTACTTCCCAATTGACTGGATTTCCGAAAGCACAACCGGACTAACCTCTCTAAAACTCTCATTGGTTGAACAGATGCATACGTCACCACGTGTTGCAGCCAGGACTAGTTCACGACCACAGGCGCGTGCTCAATAATGTGGGTTTGCAGACTGTCGACTCGGAGTTCTGACTGGTTTCATGTTAGGCTCTAAACATTAGCGCTTTACGGCAAATAAACTTATTAATTACCTTTTAATGTCACATTAGTTTCAGTTCTCAGAGGCTTTACGAAAATGATTCGCACATTTGTTTTGTTATTTTTGTTGTGTCTGGTTGGTAAGTTATAAATCTATATTTAAGGTAATAGTTTTATCTGACTTAAAGTAAGAAAATAAACTTTGTTTAAATATTTACGTCATTTGATTTTGTTCAGCAGGTGTGTTTGATGTTGAGTCACATGAAGTTTCAGTGATGATGGGAGATTCTGTCACTCTGGACTCGAGTGTTTCTGAAATGCAACCAAAGAATGAGATCGAGTGGAGGTTTGACGGCATTCGCATAGCTAAAGTAATGAAGGGCAATCCTACATATTATGATAATGCGAGATTCAGAGACAGACTGAAGCTGGAGAGAAATGGATCTCTCACCATCACAGACACCAGAATCACAGACACTGGAGTCTATGAATTAAGTATTATTATTAATAATGAGATAACCAAGACGTTCAGTGTTACAGTTTATGGTGAGTAGAGTATACTGTATGTCATATTTATATTGTAAATAGTATATCATCCTAATAATGATATCTATATTTCACGATGGTTTTAATATTTTAATTTACAGATACATTCTAGACTGTGGTCCCACTTTAGTTAAAACAGCATTTTGACTTTTTCATGAAGGCATCGCCTGTTGCACAATGTGCATTAGCATGATTTTTCTGTTTTGTTTTTTTCAGATACTTTTCAGACACTTTGTGATATACTTGTCAGATTTTATTCCTGTTATGTTATTTAATTGTGAACCAATGTAACTCAGTTCATTAGATCAGGGGGTTTCAAACCGTTGGAGCATTTCCACATTGTGAATGCCTCTATCTCGTTTGAACACCCAGTTCAGGTCACACACACAGAACTACTAACACTGCTTCTTCCCTTGAGGCTGCCTACACTTGATGCTTAAAAAGCGACCGCTGCAAATGCATTTGTTCTTCATGTCAGAAATAGCCTACGTCAGAGATAGAACGGGGCATCAGTTCACTGTGGGGAATTTGTTATAGCGTTGCCCCGCTCTGCATCGAGTGTAGACAGCATCAATTATTTTAATGGGTTCTATTTGCTTTTGTCGCATCGCATCCAGAGTAGACCCGTTGTGAGGGAGACTTAAAAAATGTGCAGTGCCTGATAGGTCACAGTAAACACTCAAGCAACACTTAAACACTAATAAATAAAACATTCCTCTTGTTACTCTTAATGTACCCAGGTTTCATCTTATTTCATGTTTTGCAGCTCCACTATCCATTCCTGTCATTACCAGTGACATTTCAAAATGTTCATCAAGCTCAAAATGTGCACTGCTGTGTTCAGTGATGAATGTGAGTCATGTGACTCTCTCCTGGTACAAAGGAATCAGTGTATTGTCCAGCATCAGTGCGTCTGATCTCAGCATCAGTCTCTCTCTTCCTCTGGAGGTGGAATATCAGGATAACAACACTTACAGCTGTGTGATCAACAATCCCATCAGCAACCAGACCACACACGTCTGCATTACCGATCTCTGTCGTTTGTGTACAGGTACGTTAGCTGTGAAGTTATAATTTTTTTTTATGAATCAGTCTTTTTTTTTTTATGAACATTTTGTTTCTGTGCTTAAGTTCTCTCTTCAGATGAAGTTCATAATTGTGAAAGCACTGAAGCTGTGATCCGATTGGTCGTCACTGCTCTGGTGGGCGTGTCCGCTGTGGCTGCTTTCATTGTGCTGGTTTATGACATCAGATCAAGAAGAGTTGAACTGGAGAGACATCAGACCTTCAATGATGGATCTAATATTCTAAAATAAGAATAAACAGTTTGCGTTTTGAAATCTTTCTCTTCTTTTTTCGTTAGGAAAATGTAATGAAATATATAAAATATATCCAACCCCCAATCATATATATGCACGTCTGCTCATAGAATCATTCACATGATCAGCACAATTTATTTGTTTAAATGCAAACAAAAGTAGAGCATATGTACAGTATGTGTTTCAATTCAAAATATTACCAAATTTGACATTAAATCACACAGGACAACATGAGGTAAGATACAGCAAAAAAGTATATGGACACCAACTTCTAATTAACAGGTTTGGTTATTCCAGTAATTCCAATGAAGACAGACCTAAATTCTACAGCATACAATTACATTCCAGAGAACTATTAAACCGAATCACAAATTAATTCAGATCATTTTGAAAAACCATTTGACCAATTAAACAGTGAATGATTAAAGGGATACTCCACCCAAAAATGAAAATTCTGTCATCATTTACTCACCCTCAAGTTGTTGCAAACCTGTATGAGTTTCTTTCTTCTGCTGAACACAAAGGAAGATATTTTGAAGAACGATTGGAACTTTGGCACCATTGACTTCCATAGTAGAAAAAAAAAAATACTATGGAAGTCAATGGTGCCAAAGTTCCAATCGTTCTTCAAAATATCTTCCTTTGTGTTCATCAGAAGAAAGAAACTCATACAGGTTTGCAACAACTTGAGGGTGAGTAAATGATGACAGAATTTTCATTTTTGGGTGGAGTATCCCTTTAAATATCATCACTAAGGGGTTATTTTACATGGCAATGTTTTCAACTAAAAAAAAAAAAAAAAAAACTTTTTCGGGATGTTTATTTCCGATAACAGTGTTTTAGGGGTCTGAAAACAGAAAACATGTTTCAAAGTGCAAGTTTTTGAAAACCTTATCGTCTGCATGTAAACTACAATTTTTTTTGAATTTGTTAAAACTGACATCATGCGCATGCCTATTATGGTTTCAGTCTATAGACGTAGTGTTTCTTTACAAGGTGACATTGCCAGCTACTGGTCTGGCAGCATGATACAGCTTTTTTATTTTTTTATCTGTGTGAACAGGGATTATTTTTGCTGCCAGTCCGCGTTTGCACAAATGAAAAAAACCCGTATTTAGTACATCATTGTCATGTAAACATACCCTTCTGAACAGCTGACATAAATACTGGACACACATCATATTGGCTGAAATATTCTCAGGTAAAATGTTTCTCAGGTCAGGAGTGTTAGGCCTACGTACAGCCATAGTTGCAGGCACTGAGGATAAGCATATAGGCTAGATTATGCATTTATTTATTTATAAAGAGAACAGATATGAAGCAGATTCATGTTTTCCCCCCTGTAGTGACAGTGTAGGGCACTAAAACACAACCTTTTGTGTCTGAACAGGCAAATATAAAGGCATCAAGGCACGTCCGAAGACAATGTTAGTTTCACTTCCCGTCTCCTGAGAAACCTTCATCTGATCATTTTTTGAAGGCAGCATAGATGTATCCTTCGCTGCCTTTGATATCCCACAATCCTGTGCTTTCCATTCTGTGACAGAAACTTCTGTAACTACAAAAATAAAGATGGCGTCTGACAGTTGCGGTTGGTCATCAGTTTGTGTGTAAATGTACATTTTTGATCAACATTTTCCACTTATGCTGTCATTTCTAGCAAGAAATTACTATTGTAGTCATTAAATATTCACTTAGTAATGGGAGAAAAAAATTCAATCCTTTGCGTTCTCTCACAAAAGTTTGTGTGTTGCCCAAAACCTTTCTGTTCCCACGAGAAACTTTGCATTCCCCCGTCTGTTCTTTGCAAAGTTTCTCGGGGGAATGCAACATGCTTGTCAGAGAACACAAATATATTGACGTAATTTTCTCTCCCATCTCATTTTTTTTTTTTTTTCCATCACCATGTTTCTTTAGGGGCTCCTTACTTTTGGGCCCCACAGTACACATAAAACAAAAATAATATACAAAATAATTAAAATTCTATACAAAGATTAGTCAAAATTACAAAAAACAACAAACGGTGAGTTAACTTACAGAGATTATAGCCCTCCACATTACACTGGCCATTCAAAGATATTTTTGAGTAAGAATACACTGATCAGTGTAAATGACAAACTATCACATCAACTTTATAATAAATGAAAGCATGTTTCTCTATTTATGCTAAACCAAATGGAAGTCTTTCATTTTACAGTGCAAAATGTTTGATTTTCAAACACTGTTAATGTGTTCTGATTATGATATACTGCTGCTGGGCATCTTCGTTCCAATTACAGCATTGCATCATGCTCTTTATCTGTACCACCATCTATAATAAAACACAAAACAATCACAGACGTTAAGAGAGAGAGAAATAGTGATCTACATGTAATGCTAATGCTAAATTTGGGTGTTTTTTTATGTATGCAAGATTATTAGTTATTTTTTACATTCTCTAACGGGTTAACTGAAATGGGAAAATTAGTACATAAGAGATTTTAAAAGAAATGTGTGCAATGTTTTTGATGCTAAAATCCTTTATCCTTTAAAATCCAGTTTAATATGCAGAAACATGTTAAATTATATTCTGTTTGATATCAAACTGAGATATCAAACTGATGGTGATCGGTTGAAACAAGAAGAGAAACACACAATGATATGTCAAAATCTAGGGCTTCTCTTTTTAATAAATAATACAATTACAAATAAAATGTTGAAATATATACCATATACTTGACACAGTAGCTCAGTGGTTAGCACTGTCGCCTTCTTTGAGTCCCTGAGTCAGGGGGTCTTTCTTTTTGTGGCCTTCTCCCCGTGTGTGTTCTCTGCTTTCCCCCTCTATCCAAAGACATACAGGACAGGTCAATTGGAGACAGTAAATTGCTCTTAGGTGTGAGTGTGAATGCATGTGTGAGCGCTGTGATGGACTGGCCATCCAACCAGGGTGATTCCCTGCCTACGGCCCAAGACACTGGGATAGGCTAAAGCATCCCTGTTACCCAACATACAGTAGGACAAGTGGTTTAGAAAATGGATGGATGGATACCCTGTACTCCAATTCACGTCAACACTGAGAAAAACTGGGTTCATAAAGTAAATTCACTGGGACTTTAATATTGTAATGGTGTTTCTTTGGAATAGTTTTTGATGTCTGAATGAAGTCATCACACACACAAACTATTCAGAGTGCATTTACTTACAATTACTACACAATTATTCAGAAACCAAACACGGATTAATCTGTCCTATCTGTTCTTACAGTTCAGATATCAGATGCAGATGTGCTCAAGTGAAAGGATCTTCCTCATCCAAAGGTATTTCAGTTTTCCATCAGTCAGTCTGGAGTATTGTTTAACACTGAGAAGAATCATTTATAATAAAGCAGGATAGTTTTACAAGAAACGTTCATGCCTGAATTGCACTTTTAAATTCATGTTACTTACTCTTCCCGCAGGGCCAGGATACTTTAATACAACCCTTCTTGATCCCAATACAGATTACGATCACGATCACGACTGCAACGACTGCAAACACTGCCAACACTGGACCAGTTGTTTCCCATTGTGAACTCTGGGGGAGCTCTGTAATAGTTCAGCAGAGACATTAATGATACACTCCTGCTATTCTGACCTTATATGTTGACAGACAGCCTGATTAGCATTGCATTTCATCCCAATGCCTAATACAGATATGCATGAACATTTACATGAGGCTTTTAATGAGACTGCAGTACCCTGTCTCACATCTGCCGGTGATCAACACCAGCAATCAGTTCTTCTCAAAACGTGTTCAGGACACTAATGTCACCATTGTCAAACTCAAAAGTTTCCACCCTCCAGAGGGTGACTGAACTGGGCAAAAGAATCCTTCATTGTGTCGCATTGAAATATCATGACATTTTTTTTTCGGTAATGCTTAAAAGGAATAGTTCACCAAAAATACAAACTTATGCAATAATTTTCTTAACCTCATGCAATTCCATACCTGTATGACTTTATTATATGGAAGAAAGAAGATATTTTGAAGCATGTTGGAAACCTAACAGTTTTGGTTACCATCCATTATTATGCACAAAAAACCTTTTTTTTTTTTTTTGGAATGACATGAAGGTGCATAGCTTAAATGATGACAGAGTTTTCATTTTAGGTTTCACTTAATTATAATTGCCAGTTAATGGAAATATAATGCTATACATTTTTGTCTACATTACTGCAAAATTAGGAGTGAATTTAAGCATAAAACATGATGATTTGGCCTGTAGAATTAGGCCTATAGAAACCAACAAAATCATTAAAAAAACTATAGATTATAGAAAAGTTTGAGCCACTCACCACTAACCGCAATATGGAATTTCCTGTGTAAGATCGTGCTGCTGTTGTTGATCTCCAGTTCATAGTCTCCAGAATGTTCAATTTGGATGTTTCTGATGATGAGGTCTCGGGTATGATCATTCAGTTTGACCACGTTTTTCCATCTCGCATCAATACTGCCATTTAATCCATTAACTTGCTCGAGACCATCGACGGTTCCAAAGTTTGCAAGTTTACATTTACTGAATAATATTACTATCAAAGTATTAATTCATATAGACTTACAATATGTCATTTGAAAGCTCAAAGGCTCAAGATTAGAAATCTACAGTCGTGATATTATACCGATATTATATCATAACCTCAATAACCTCTTTTTTGATACGTATCAACAGTTCGTATAAATACACGCAACACCAAAACGGGACTTCTGGACTGTTTTTGTCCAGTGACGATGACAGATAAATACACGCAACACCAAAACGGGACTTCTGGACTGTTTTTGTCCAGTGACGATGACAGATAAATACAGTCACGCAAACATCGGTGTAGTGTTCATGATAATTATCCGGAAGACAAAATCGGTTAGACTTTTAGTTTAAAAATTGGAAATTTCAGACGAATACTGAAACATTTGCTTTGTTTACGTAACATTCTCCTGAGAGGATCATGTTTTTTTTATTGTCCAGGAAATTATGCACTCCAAGGT